TTAAAGTACAAACAACCTTCTGTTACATAAATACTTGAATAGAAGAGTTAACATGGAAATTATATTACCATGTCCCGCAGGTAACTAAAGTTTGGTCTTACTTGGAACAGGAAATCTCAGTAGCGAGTTATACACACGAACAAAACACAATATAAGGTAATAAATATTCTGAATAATACAAATTTTACGTTAAATACTATTATATTATAAATATAATATAATATCATAATATAAATGTCGATTGAAACTATCAACTTAGTTGAAATTCTTTAAAACATTAATGTCAAGATTAATATGTTGTCATTTTATTGTGTGTGTGCATACATTAAGAAATATATGGCATGAAATCTGTGATGATTATTCAAGTAAAATGTAAACTAAAATCTAAATTAATGTGAATCTTTTGTTATAAGTCACGTATTACAAGCAAACCACATTAACGAAGCATGAAGAATGCACTCTCCTTAATGTCTATATGCAGTTCTCTCACATACACGTATGTGCATTTACTTAAATAATTAATAGTAAAGATCTGGCTATATATAGATTTTACACATTAAACTTGCATACTGACATTTAGCATATAACCTTCTAAAACTCATGTTAAAGATTTACTTAGAAAGACAGTAAAAACTCTATTAAAACGACAAAAAATGATAAAATGTGTTACTTAGTTTCTTCTTTAACAATCTCATCAATTACTGATCAAATTGAACAAGCAAACTTGAAATTAATACAAAGCGTCTTGTATAAATCTTGTCTAGAGAGAGTAGCTAATGAAAAAAATTTCTAAGGTTTCGCTGTATAAAACCAATTCCGTATCGATTTAACAACTAATCACTTGGAGACACTTGCTTGGCAAACTAATTCAATAGTGCTACAACGTTCTCCAATAAAACTCAACTGTAGAAAGATCCGAAGAAACTATAGATCCCGTTTCACATTATATTATATTCAAAATTCACAGTCATAGGAAAAATAAACCTCAAGCAACGATCAAATCAGTTATAGTAGTTATACTCATAGTACACACACTTACTTATGTATATGTTAATCCCACAAGACTCGTAATAAGCAAAAGTAATTTTTACAAGAGAAAGAGTTATAAGTTATAACAGAGAAAACATTACTCGTTGTTAAAGTGATTAATTACAACAAATGTTCATCCTGTAAGTAAATCACGATTATAAATAACAACATCCTGTTAAAATTCTTATAGTTAGGTTGAAAAGGGTAAATTTATAATCATAATAACCTATCTTTGTGCATTGGAAAATGTATTCATGTATTTAATGGCAAGATAATTTGTATTAGTAAATACGAGGTATTGATACACCGACACTGATTGGAAACTTCGACAAGAAAATCATGTAATATTGTGTACATTTCTATTTTTAACATGTTTCAGATGAAGAAGCAGATAATATAGAGAAAGTATCTAAGAAAAATTATTTAGGGCCATCTTGAAAAAACAAAAAAACTGGTCAGAAATTGTACTTTATTACAATAAACGTACATCACGTGTCTGTCGTATGTTCACAACACTTTTTTTATTGTAAAATAGATATCATTGTACTTTATTACAATAAACGTACATCACGTGTCTGTCGTATGTTCACAACACTTTTTTTCGTGTAAAATAGATATCATTGTACTTTATTACAATAAACGTACATCACGTGTCTGTCGTATGTTCACAACACTTTTTTTTTGTAAAATAGATATCATTGTACTTTATTACAATAAACGTACATCACGTGTCTGTCGTATGTTCACAACACTTTTTTTGTGTAAAATAGATATCAAATATTATGATTCTATATGCTTCTCTGTGAAGGCCGGGTGTGATCTAGTAATTAGTTTTCCCGATATGTGAATTCGATGATTTATGGTTCGATCTCATTCCCGCTAAAACTGGCTTTGCACTTTGAGTTCCCTATACTATTGACGGTCAAATCCCACTATCCAATCTGACAAGAGTAGCCTAAGAGTTGGCGGTGTGCGCTATTAATTAAATGTCTTTCTTGAAGTATACTAACTCGAAATTAGAGACAGCTATGCGCAGATTGTCTTTGTGTGAACTTACACGCTTTTCAAACAAATCCAACTTGTTTGGATTAAGAGAAGACCAATAGATTAGGTATTGCGAATACTACATGTAACTTGTTTGGATTAAGAGTAGACCAATAGATTAGGTATTGCGAATACTACATGTAACTTGTTTGGATTAAGAGTAGACCAATAGATTAGGTATTGCGAATACTACATATAACAAAATTCATTTATGTATAAATTATCCTAAAAGTGAGAATTTACAGACGTGAACTTAGTTGAAATTAATTTTGCTTGGACTCCTTATACGTATACATAATCATATGTCTGTATTTTGCAAAGGTTTTATGGTATTAAGTCATGAACAAGTATAAGTAAACGCCTAGGGAATATGCTACAAACCTCTCGCAATAAATTATATAGTTAGAAATTCTCTGCGCTCACCCTCAAGTTAAAATTTTAACCATGTAATATATATTCGAAAATACCAGAACAGGAATTCTCCATCCTGGTGATAATGTATAACCCGCCACCAGATCTGTAAAACTATAAGGAATTTTTATTATCATACTTCTGCAAAAAAAAAGCTATGAATCAAAACTAAATATCTCATATTCAAATTTCTAACAAACTTATGAACATTTTAAATATTTCTGTCACTAACCTTATCTTAGTCCATATTTTAAACATTAAACACTCATTTCTCCTTGTTTGTCTTCAGAACTATAGTAAAGGGAGAGATATATAAAGCTATGCATTTACAAACATACCAAATGTCTATGGATCTCCCGTATAGAGATTTATACATCAAGAAACCCTTTTTAGACATCTCATTGAAGATAGGAGAAATATCTTAAGAGTGACGAAATTTTGTCAAGTTTTTGATAGTTATTAAAGATGGTCATCTCTACTTTTATAATCAACTGTTTTATTGTCATTATTTTCTATTAAAGTTTGAATTCCATCTTACACTGTTTGTCTGATAAAATGGGATGGAATTCAAAACCTGCATCTTCTATTTTATTAAATATTATTGCTCACAACTCAATGGTAAAACTAGAGAATAAATGTAAAGAAAAAACACCGTAAATCGTTTAATATTTCTAATAGATTAGCGTACTCTACAGTGAAATACGTTCATCATAAATATATTGTCTCATGTAAAATCTATTCAATATTAATGTTAAGCATCTGTCTTGTAATTTTAGGATAAATGAATTAAATCAGACTTCTCATGTGCATAATATTTTCAATAACCTAGTCCCTCCTATAAAAATGAGTTACATTTGGACCTCATGTGACGTTTTTTCGAATTAATAATTGCTTTTCTTTTACATGCAACTATATTCAACTGATTATTTCTTAATGCTGATGACAAATAAAAAAATGATTTATCAGGCCAACAGTTTTGTAAAATAAATCTCTATTAAAATTCACTTTTAAAAGCCTTAAGATAACAAAAATGTATGAAAATTATTTGGCTTTTTAAATATTCTATTAATAATAAAATGTCTTTCAAAAACTGCTTTACGTAGAATGAATTAAAACAAGATAGTTGTTACAAATGTGTAATGTTATTAGATTATTTTTGTCTTATAAAGATAAAATAGCAGATAATTCCTAAAAAGTATCTAATTATCATAGGTAAGTCTAATCTCAAATCAATTTAAAATATATTTCATCAACTATTTGAAAATTACGTTTTCTCAATTTACATTTTAAAAAAGCATAATCTATTCAAAAAGCACTTAAACTTTTCTTCAAGCTGAAATACAAATATCAAGCCTTGACAAAAAATAGCTTTTTCATTTTTTTAAGTATTCGGTTAATTAGTAACAAAATAAAAAAGTTGATGACGAGACTGAAAATCTTCCATAAACTTCATGTATTAATTAAATATAATCAGCATATGTTTAGTCTGTTTTCCGTGTATTCTAAATGGAAGGCAGATACATAGTCAACAGCTCCTACCTCCAAACTTGGGCTACTCTAATCGAATAATAGGATTTGACGGTCACATTTATGACGCATCCATGGCCCGACAATGCATAGCAGGACATAACAGAATGCGAATCATCGACCCTTGGATTCAATGCCTGGTAAGCTAAACAATCGGCCACGCCCGGGCATACTCAGCAATGTAAGATCTCTCTGGGAGTGACTGAAACTTTATATGAACTTCATTTATTAATTAATTATAATCCGCCTAATATGATAACACACAGACGACTGTCCCCTGTGGCCGTAAGAGTGAAGCAAGATAACTTTTAAGGCATTAATTATTTATAGCTGGGTGAAAATTTCAATAGTGTAATAATATTTTAAATGAAACAGGATTTTAATTTCACTTTTCTAAGATATAAGTTCATGTTTTATTGAGACATAATCCTTTCCCTATTTCTAAAGGTTAAGTTTTGAATATAAACATATAAATAAATAATTTCATTTTTTGTATATATTCATATATGCATAAAAAAACATAAATATAAGTTATAATCTCCCTCCTCCAGAAATACCCAATAAAATAAGAAATTCTTATAACAAGTTATTTTATCAATGCTGTCTTTTTTTCTCGTGAAAATTCATGTTATTTTTACAAACTGTCAGTTGTTTTCAAATTCTTCAGACTTTTATATACAACTTTATAATCAGGAACTTTTGACTTTGGTATTTTGTTCGGCTAAGTATTAGCACTGGCCAGCACTCCCAAGAGACTGATAAGCTGTCAACGTTTCAATCGTTATGTGTTGAAACAGTCACGCACAGCTGGTACTTAAATTCTACAAGCAATACTTGTCTGTAATAAGGTTTTCTCAGGTATATGTATATATAAAATACATAGATTTAAATATATGTATATACATAAGTGCCGGTTTGGGCAGAATTATAAAATGTCCTTCAAAATAAAACTTCCAAACAACGGAGAAAATATGATCTATGTTTCTTACCTGCATTTAATGCCCAGAAGCAAATACACAGCATTAGCATCTGACACGACTTCTTCAAAATCATCGCACCTAGCGTCACTTTCCAACACTTCAGGTGATAGTTGATAGAATTAGATAATATATCTATTTGACTGATTCACAGGAATCCATAATTCATCCTTTTTATAAATTTTCTACATCCTACTCGCGCTTTAAACCACGCTACTTACTAGACGTTAGGGTTGTCAACAAATCGACCAATCCGACACGGTGATTCCAACAATAGTAGAACTTAAAAATAGTTGAAGTTAATTTTATTTAAAATTATAGAATACACGTTCAAATTACTTTTCTTTGGAAATATCTTCAGTAGAAATATACCACGGAACTCTGAATGGCCACCTATCACTCACTCTGCATAGACGTCTTTAACCTGGAAACGCCGGAACGAAAACTCCGCTCTTACGCTATGCTACCGAACTCTATGTTAGTGCTGCCCCCGTGTAAATTTCTAAAGAACTACGGCTCAGTGATAAACATTAAGACGTTTCCTGTGACTCCCAAGGAGAAAAATATTAAGTTGTAAGTTGTAGGATAAACAGGTGATATGGATAAACAGAATGAAGATAAACTGGTTGTTGTAGATTTCTGATAAATTTATCCTATAACTTAACTTACGGATAAGTCACGTTTGACTTATATTTAAACAAGCTTTTAAGAAGCGTAATGAAAGGGCTTTTTACTACATCAAAACAAGGTCTTAATTAAGTAAGGGTCAAGCTTTAATGCAATTATAAATCACTAATTAGCTCCATGAACGATTTGCTTAGCTGTTCTAGGACATCTAATATTTGTTAGTATCAAGCACAGCACTTGATTGGGAGCATGTTTGTATCATGTATAAGATGCTAAAGAGAATTCCAAACACAATATTGGCAAAAACTGGATGATCCTGGAGCAGTCTTGAAACTTTATGTAAACAAGAGACTGGCAGACACAAATCCTGCACCGACTTCATGTTAATTAATAAACTATCATCGTTCATTTCAAACGTTTTTAACGGAGTTATAAAGGTGCATCTGTGAATTATCTGATATTCTATTATTCTTGTTTGAAAAATAAGATGGCATAGAGAACATAAGAATGAAAATTATGTTTAGTGCTGTTTTGAATAGATGGAAATTTTGAATTTTTAAAGAACATCGGCTTACCAAAATAGTTTGTTTGTTTGTCTTTGTTTCTCTACTTAATATGTTGGTGTTTTCTATGCGAAAAATCAAAAAGCCCTACTTATACAATAACTCAAACCAAAATTGAACCAACATAAGGGAACACTTTTATATCTATTTTAATCACCTAATATCTTACCGCTACGCCCCATGCAATATCGTACCTGTTTACACATCTTCCCTAAGACATGTGCCCAGTAACGGCCAGTTTCAAACTGTCTTTGTTAACCTGATAATGACCCAAGAAGTTCGAAAGGTTGTTCTTGTACTTTATTTTAATTAAAGTT